GTAGTGAGTATGTGCAGGATGGAGGCTGTAACGTGCATGCAGACATGTAACCAAAGTTACAGCAAGAAGAGAGGTTTAGTGTTGTGCTCGAAGTGTTGTCCTTTGCCTGTCCATTAACTGCTGATCCTAAGGCACAAAAGGCCAGAAGGTGCCAACCTGTATTAACACTGATCCTATTAAAAGCTTGACTTCTGTGACTTGACATCTTTTGGTTCCTGATTTGTCACTTCACTGTGCTGTGTTATAGTCTCCACAGCTGCAAAATGGAGCTTGTAGGTATTAGAGGTGTTTTGAAGCCTCGGTAATACTGAATCTTTCAGGTTGTCAGACTGAAGGTATGAGAAAATCTAGACACTTGTTTGCATTTAGATCGTATGTAATGGGGCTGTTATAAATTGCAGAGTTTTTAATTCTGTGCCTGATTTTATTTACCCATGTAAAGCTGCCTGTGTCTGTGGAGTATCCTTAATGAGTAATTCCATTGTATTTGAACTCAGTTTTTCCAGACTCTTATAACCATCTCCGTCTAAAACGTTCTACTTCACATGTGTATGCAGAGATTAATTACAGAGAGGCAAAGTAATTAAGACAATTCCAGCTGTTTCTGATGCAGAGCCTTCACAGGGTGCCCATCCCAGTACTGACTTCAGGCTTTGGAAAGGATCAAGATTTCTCATCCTCCCGAGCAAATAGTGGTTGCATCAGTGTTTGTGCTCTGGGCCCACAGAGGTTAATGTTCATTCCTGGAGATGATGATGTCTGTAGCATCCAGAGGAAGGCAGGATGCAGGTTATTTGGCTTTGAGTGCTCAGTATACACTTTGATAGTGTCTTGGCCTGCTCTTTCAAGCAAAACTAAGGAGAGAATGTGCCCGATGAGGGTGAGGAAGGTGTGCCTATGCTCCAGCTGCAGTTTTGATCAAAGCAGGGAGATGTACCTAAATTAGTTTCAGATTAATTACTATGCCACATGAATGGGAGCTTTAACTTCCCTTAGGTGAGCTTCTGCAGCTTAAACATCCATGATGTGATGGACGATGCCCTAATACCATTGGGAGTGTCATGCACCTAAATAAGGTTGACACAAGTGATAGCAGTTCCTGGGGATGATAATACAGTGTCCTTCTTAGTGTTTTTGTCCTGTTCAGTAACACCAAGTCCTGCCCCAGCCTAGGCTTCTTTCCTGTAAAGAGAGAACTGTCCCGTGTATGTACCCAGTGAGGCTGGTAGATCCTGGGAGAAGAAAAGGCAAAGGAAGCCTGAAGAGATCCACTTTCAGCTTGTGCTGCACCTTCACCTACGGGGTGACCTTTCCTATGGGCAGGAAGATCAGATGAATTTGGGAGCAGATGAACAGAGACATCCCTGCTCCCACTTGTTGCCACCAAAACCTCACCATCTAGCCAAATCACTGTCTACTGGATCAGAAGTGCTGTGCTTACAGGAGAAGCTGGATGAGGTAGAAGCTGAGCCTAGGCAGGTAGTCTTTGTGCCCAGGGAGAGTAAGGCTCAGACTTCCAGCACCGCTTCATGCTTGTGTCCTCTACCAGGAAATGAAATCCCCAAAATACAAGTCAAAAAGCAGCAAAACATCCCCTTGAGTCCATTCCCACTGTGCTTCCAGCCTCATGGAACCTCTTGGATCCAACTGGACCATACTGGATCCCCCATCTACCATGTCCAGCTCCACGTCCATGAGCTCCAGCTCATTCCCAATGGATTATCCTCTATTTGCCAGCACAATGTCCTGACCTGGCAGTTAATGTTGAGGGGAGAGCAGTGGCATCGTCCACAGATGTATGCTGCACACATGCCTCTGGCCTGCAGCATAGCCATAGCTTCAGGACCTGGATTTTCCCTCTGTGCAGACCCACAGTGTGCTGGAATTCCTGGGATATCTCCTATGTCCGTAGCAGTTGGAAGAGCATCTGCATGTTCACAGCCAAGATGGTAAACAACAATCCCCCAAACAGCTGCTCTTCATCTTCCACATGATTGTTTTAACCAAGCACAGCCCAAGATGTTCATGGTGCTGAATCTGTTCTGTTGTGAAATACAGTTACTAACTTGGCTTTCATTCTGTTAATGAATTATAAGTCTTATTGTGGAATAATAAACGTTCCAGCTGGATAAAGTCCTTATTGGTAAAACACTAGTGCAGCAGTGCAAACCCTTGCAGAGCTGCCTCTCAGATGTTTGCGATTTCATCTCGAGCAGCTGCTTTTCTGACAGGGGAATTAAGGTTGGTGACAACATTTCCCACTTTCCTCTGAAACCATTCTGGTTGTGTTGTAGTCATCATTTCTGTCGTGTTTCTATCTGGGGGCAGTGTCCTTGCTCAGTCTATACCTTGGCTGTTCCTGCTGTTTCTGAGACTTGGACAAAGTGTTTCATGGAACGGTAGGAACAGTAACACTTTGTTCTGTCTGTGTGTTGAGCATCTTTTGGCTTTGCTGTTCTAAACTCAGCTTAAATTAAATCCAAGACCAAGAAAAGGCAATTTCAAATTCTCTTTCCTAGGGAAAGTCAGTGTTGCTCAGCACAGCTGCCACAGCTCTGTGTTTGAGCTGCCCAGGTTGGATGGAGCTTGGAGCAACCTGCTCTAGTGGAAGGTGTCCCTGCCCATGGCAGGGTTAGGAACTGGATGAGCTTTAAGGTCCCTTCCAACCCAAACCAGTCTGTGATTTTATGATTAGATATAGATATGCTACATATGATATAGATTATATATATGTGATTATATATATATGATCAGATATAGATATAGATATGCTAGATATATCTATGATATATGTAGCAGACCCACAGATGATGGGCACGTATCAGGCCCCTGTTTCAGAGCTCTCTCTGGGGCCTTTGATCATTTTATGTCACTATATCACAATTTGCAGTCCACAAATATTCATGTTGTCTTCATTTTCAATGCAAAAGGGTGTGTTAGTGTCATCTTCTCTGCCAGGTTGGTCTGACATGGGAATCTCTACTTGGGCTCGTGTCCACACACATGAATGGCTTATTGGAATGAAATGGTATTTGGGTTAGGTAGCTGAGCAGAGTGGCTGGGAGGAGGATAAAAGCTGGAGCTGGTGGTGCAGGAGGAATACAGCACTGGGGCTACAGCACATCATCAAATGTTGACCCTCTGGCTTTGCAGGTCCACTCATTCTGCAGCAGCAAAGTATTATGCAGTGGTCTGATGGCTCTCGGCTTGTTCTCTGCAGGGATTTGTGTGTTGTGGTCACACTATGGGGTAGGATGTCTTGTGGCAGGATGCACACAGGATGGCTGTGCAGGACTCCAGTGCGAGCTGCAGAAGCCATCCAGGACTGCACTGCCCTGAGCTCTGGGCAGCTGGCATCACGCAGCTAAGCAGCCATGCAGGACAGTGCCAGTGTATGTCCCAGTACCAGGTGCAGCCACAGACTGCACAGTAAATGTACCTCCAACTGGCCTAGGGGGAATAACTTGAGGTGCCTCTTGGAGTGACAACGTGTCCCGGCAGTGGCTCAGCCACTTGTGGGAAGTTAGAAATGAGGTGACAGAGGTGAGATTTTAACAAAACACGGTCTGGAGAAGAGAAGGTTCCTGAAGGGGAGACCTTAGAGCAGCTCCAGTGCCTAAAGGGGCTACAGGAAACCTGGAGAGGGGCTTTGGACAAGGGATGTAGGGACAGGACAAGGGGAATGGCTTGAACCTGCCAGAGGGGAGACTGAGATGAGCTCTTGGGCAGAAGCTCTTCCCTGTGAGGGTGCTGAGGTGCTGGCACAGGGTGCCCAGAGGAGCTGTGGCTGCCCCATCCCTGGCAGTGTTCAAGGCCAGGTTGGACACAGGGGCTTGGAGCAACCTGCTCTAGTGGAAGGTGTCCCTGCCCATGGCAGTGGTTGGGACTGGATGAGCTTTAAGGTCCCTTCCAACACAAACCAGGGTGAGATTCCATGATGTATTGCTTTGTCAAATACAAGTTTAAATGAAAGCAGTGTGTGAATTGCTATGATGTGCCTTATCTCTTTTGTTAAACAGGGCAGTATGTACTGTTGTTTGACATCTTTCTGGCTTCACCTCAGTTGAAGCATCCATTGAATTCTTCCTAATTTACACTAGTGGAAATAAGTTTAGAATTGGGCTCTATGTATTTATTTCAAGACTATCTGCTATGAAGTAGGTTTCAGACTCTCCCCTCCAACAACATGTTAAAACCTAAATGTATTTTTTATCAGTTCTGCTATTTATATTCTGGATATCACTTAATGTAGCCAACAGAGAAGGACACGTTGTATTGACTGTATTTGCTGGCACTCTTAATGGCAGTGGTATAGTGGGAAGGGTACAGAGTTCAGGAAGAGGTAGGTACCTGTAGTCAACTTTTTTATGGGATGTAGTTTTAATGAAAGGTGGCTTTTAACCAGCCCATCTTTTACAACAGCTACATTCCCTTCACTGAGGATTAGCCTGATTGGGAGCTAGTCTAAAAGTCTGAAAAGAAGGAAACATATCGTGTTAGTTTGTTTCTTCCTTAACGCACATGAAAAACCACTGGGATTTTCCTTCACATTTACCATTAACTTTTTATCACCTTCAGATTTCTCAGGGAATTCTGTGTATGATTGAGAAAGGATGGGTGACTATCAGAGGTGGTAACTTTAAAGGGAGTTACATTGATGCAGACTATTTAGTTGTGTTTCTGAAGCCAAGCACTGCTTTGACTCAGATCCTAAGGAAGAAAAGAACCTGTTAGAAAGACACCACAACATCCTGCTCCTTTAGATGTGGCCAAGGCTGCACTGAAGAGTCAGAGATGCTCGCCAACCAGAGCCGGAATGACTTTGTGCACAGAACCACCCCAAAAAGAAGAGCAAAGAGAGGGAAATGATGCTCTGAAGCTGTTTTTTGTCCTCCCTAGGCTACTGGACCAGCATTTCAATGAGCAAGGAAGAAGAAAGGCTCAAAATACACTGTTGTCTCTAACTTTTATGTCTGTTCTTTGCTTGCTTGTTTAACCAGGGACAGGGGGCCCTGTCTGAGAGACTAAGGAGCTTTAGCATGCAGGATCTCTCGACGATCCGCGGAGACAGCAGCAGCACTGTTCCTCCTTCGGTCACTGTACGAACAAGTAGCAAACAGAGCCACCCAAAACCATCCCGAAGTGCATCGGAAGGCACTGGCAGCTCAGGTAAGCACCAGTGTTACGTTCAGTGTCGTGTTGTCTGGAATGTCCCACATTCAGTTGAATGAAGTCATGGCAGTTGGCAGGAATATATAGAAACAGACACTGCATGCGGCGCATACCAGAATTCACAGGACACACACACGCTGTTGAGTCTCTTGGCACTTAAGAGAGAAAACAGTATCATCTTTTGATGGGAACTATTTCTGGCTGCTGCCGAGGACGGGGCTTGAGCATGCAAAGGAGCCAGCATCAGGCCTTGCAACTTGAGCTGAAAAGCTAGGGGTGGGATGGTGGGTTTTCAGTGAGGGGGTAATGGAAGCGCAAAAGGAGGGGATAAGAATGCACAATAGTGGGCAAGGGTCATTATTATCATCAAAGCCCCCATATGGTGGTACAGCCTCTCTCTCTCATGTCATCTCAACACAAATACGAGTTCTAATGGAGATCTGGTTTGAATTACGCCCACTTGTGCTGCTTCTAAACTGTACAGTAGCTGTTACAGCACTTGACATTTGTAGTTCCAGAACTTTATCATCAACGAAGCCTTCTGAGAAATAAAACCCATGTAAAGCACTCCTAGGAGCAGAGACCAAGATCTCTCAGCTGTTTCTGATACAAGGGGTGTCTGCATAAGCACTGTTATGGAAAACTAGTCTTTCTGAAGGGCAATGGTCTGTTTTCGAAGGGAAGAAGCCTTATGGTGGGAATAAGATCCATTCAAGCTTGGTTAAAGGCATCCTTGTGAGCCCAGAGCCAAAACACTGACTTACAGATAGCTTTGCAGACTAGATCTCCAAAACTGAGACATGGAGGGTTATCCCAAGCAGGTGGTTCTAGATGGCTTCTGGGGTTCCCAAACACCACCAAGGATCATGCAACTCCACTGCTGTGAGGAGAAGGCACAGACAGTTACAGGCGTGTTGCACTTGGTACCTTGTGGAACATATGCTGAAGAGTTTGAAACTGAGCACTTTCAGCTTGTGTGTGGTGAGGGCTGTGCAAACCTTCACTGTGTTTCAAGCCTGTGTAGATGGCCACCCATTCTAGTTTGCTTTGTATTGGAATGTGTTAGAAATGGCTTGTTTTATCCTTCCTGAAGAGTGTCCTTTGAGTCCTTTACAGGTTCTGAAGATTATAGCTCACAGGTTTTTCTCCACAGACAAATGGAAGTAACCAATGTTGGGGCACAGTGGTTTTGTTCTCAGGTTTGTGTAAGGCTTTCTGTGCACTTCGCTTGTAGTAATCAATCTGAAAGTGAAGTGTTCACACATAGAATATAAAACACTTACTAAAAAAGGAAAAATTGATAAAACCATCCCGCATATTTAGACCAAAATACCAAATAGCACAAGTAAAGCCTTATTTAGTTATCTTAATTCCATGTTGTATAGAGCAGCCCTTGTAGTTTCATTCTTAAGGCAGTGAACTTGGCTCACCTTGGTCCCAAACCCCTGTCTTAACACACAAAAGCCTTGGATTTTGATCTGGTTTCATATCAATATTGTGCAAAGATCTGTCAAAATTAACCTCTGGAAAATGGAATTGTTCATTAACCTTTCAAACTAAGTTTACACAGATTTTTGGATCCAAGTAATTAGAGATTCTGGTTTAAATTCTTCTTGTAATGAGAACAACACAAATTTGCAAATCTTCCAAGACTTCTGTCTGTCCCATCTCACTGAGGGCTTTCACTGAGGTCCCGAATCTAGGAGCCTGCTTGCAGGTCCCTTCTCCACCTACAGACAGCACAGAGAGGCACCACCAGAGGCTGATTTCCCTCACAGGTTGGTGGCATCATGCCATAAGGAAGGCCATAGCTGCAGGTTTGTTCACTTTTAATCAGATTCAGTGACTGGCCTCTCCAGTCCTTGTGCTGTTTTGTGTGAGCACAATTAGGTATGAAGTCAGAATGTCCAGAGGGGCAAATCGATCACTTATAACTTGTCACATATGCATGTATATAAGAATGTGGTCTAGCAGCTAGAGTGTATCACACCTTGAAGGCCATATTCAGGGTGAGATGACACTGGTGTAAGCACAGCAAGCCCAGACCTGGTTCCATCACTCCGCCTTCTATATTTGTTTAGTTGGAGTGTTGCACATAAGCAAGGGGCAGACAGAATTTGCTCCTGCCTACTAGTATGCTATGAGTACGTGTAATATATACCTATATGAGTATGTGCATGAGCTGTCACTACACAACAGCTGACACAGAGCTCTTTTTCCTGCCCCAAAGCCCTCAGATAACACAAATGTCCATGTCAGCTGTCCCCACTGCCTCACAGGAACATTGGGCTTCTCTTTATATTCCTGCTTTAGAGATAATGGGCCATGGCCAGTCTGTCATCAGATGGAGTCAGCAAAAATGCTCCATGCTCTGTTTGACATGAGGGTGACTCAACCAAAGACCTCACCTTCCTTGTAAAAGGTCTTTGTAACCAGCTGTTGAAAGCCTGATAGTGGAAGCTGGGATACACAAAATTACTTTAAGAACATTAACAGAGAGCTTGGCTGGGGCTGCAAGTATTTGTGCCCTTGATCAGAGTAGAAATGTGCTTCATGGAGGCTTTTAGGGAAGGTTTGAAGGAGCAGGTCCTGTGTCTGCAGAAGAGGCAGTGTGTTCATTAGGAATTAAGACTGTCAGTGAGGACATATGAATTCACACCCCGCTTTATTGCACAACACCGGTATGACCTGGAGCACACCTTGGTTCCTCAGTGTGTCTGTAAAACAGAGTCATAGAATCATAGAGTGGTTTGGGTTGGAAAGGACCTTAAGATCATCCAGTTCCAACCCCCTGCCATGGGCAGGGACACCTCACACTAGACCATGTCACCCAAGGCTCTGTCCAACCTGGCCTTGAGCACTGCCAGAGATGGAGCATTCACCACTTCTTTGGGCACCCTGTTCCAGTGCCTCAGCACCCTCACAGGGTATACATTGCACACATTGTACTTCCCAAACCCAGGTCCTGAAAGCCATTTGTGGAAGATGTTTGTGTATTTTATGGTCAATAACTTAGAAGCTTTCTTATGTGGCTTTCTTCCTTCAGTGATTATAGCGTGTAAAATACTCATGGAAAAGTCCTGATCCCAGTTTGCAGGAAGGTTTCTCTGTAGTAACTGAGCTTTATTTTGCCACTACCTCTGGGGACTGAAATGTCCCTTTCTACGTTTTCCCTTCTTTCATTCTGCCCTTTTCTTTCCCCAGTGCAGACATGTGAGAAGGGCACATGGGTGTGCTGGGATCTTGATGACTTGCTGGTCTGGGTGCCACTCTTACAGCCCTTCTTTAGCTGTGTATTCATTCAGGTGCCTCCACCTTCACCCATTTCCCTAC